GTCATGGTTGTACGAGGGCTGGGATACTGCCAGGGCGCCCACACCTAGACAGGAGGACGATTAGGGTCCTCAACCAAAGCCTTTGGCTCAAAAGCCTAACCGCAAGGCAGCGGTGTTTGGCGGGAAATGCAAATGCATTATCATTTCTACGGAACAAGTCGCCATACATGTTCCAACCCCCAACCTGGAGGTCCAGGAGACCGTGTTTGTCAGACCTCTAACCATTGACCAACCTGGTATGAGAGACTCTGTGAGTGTCGCGCGGACACCCCCCAGTATAGTTCAATGGGTCTCCGAGGTACACAAACCGCCACACCACGGTAAGGTCCAGTCTCTTCGTGACGAAACACTCATACGAGCCCCCACTTTGATCATCCATCTCAAGGCGCTTGGGATGCGCTTAGTTTTTTTACATTCCACCCTTCGGGTATCTGGCGATCCTGAAACAATGGCTCGTGGTAGTTATGGTGTAAGATTTGCGCTTAGCCCCAAGATTAAAAGCGCCTTACTGGTCTGGATCCAAGTAAACAGTCGTCATTGCGGTATGCCGTTGTTTGGTTCAATTAGGATCGATGTAGGTCTATGCGGTTAATGTTATTTATTTGTCGTATCGTCATGTGCTCCGACAATCAGCAGTTCTGAGACGGAGAAAGACTAAATTAAGATCTATCACGACTGCTTCGATCAGCAAGAATGACGGATTTAGTAATCCTGGCGAGAGACATGAACGCCCAATTTGGACGATTATGTCCGGAATAAGCATAGTTAGTTTGCAAATTTGGAGTTGATGCTCATCGTACAGACGACACAAAGCGACTCCTCCAGCTATGTGCTGATCATCACCTCTTTCTGGCCAGTACGAACTTCCGACACAAACGCTCACATCGAGTTACTTGTGGGCCACCAACCTCGAGACAGCCATTGACTTAATTGTACCGGTTGGCTATCAGTTACTGATAGAAAGCGTCAATTAAATATAACCGTTCCTTCTGTGGTACGCAAATGGACTCGGATCATGCCGTTATTCGAGCCTGGTTATCATTTCGCTTTCCGTCAGTATTACGCGTGCCGAATCAGAGCATTCATCAACTTCGAGAAGTTTCAGTAGCTCAAGCGCGGGCGGCTGTGATGCCGCACGTAGATCCTTCAACCACCGAATAATCAGGAGCTTGAAGAATGACAGTGGACACTGGTGGATCTCAAAGGTCCAGGGGATGAAGATTTTTGCTGCAGAAAACAGCAGCGCCTTATTTCAGCTGATTCGATCAAATGGTCAAAAGACGGTGGGTGTCAGTGAAACAATGTGCGAAAAAGACGAAACGGCAATTCACTCCCTCACTCATCGACTTGAGCGGTGGGCTGAGCACTTCCTAGAACAGTTCAGCTGGTCTATTTTAAGACCACCGGTGGGAATACCTAGAGGATCCGAATGCAACACTAACACCAGCCCGCCATCAACAACAGAAATCCAGCATAGGATATCAATCCTCTAATGCGACAAGATACCTGTGGCGGATGGTCTGTACGCTCTACTCTTCAAAGGTGGCGATGTCCCGGTGAACAACTTGAGAAGATCTGGAACAAAAAGAATACCAGTCGGATGAAGCTCCTCGACCGCCATCCCAGTTTTCAAAAAGGGCACAGGAACGTCTACCAAAAACCATTAACCTAGTATCTGTCACATCCAGGTTGTTATCTGACACTATTTTGTGCAGGCTGATCTAGTATCGGGAAAGATAGATACTCCAGAATCAAGCTGGGTGGCGGAGGATTCTTTACCCTGGGACAAGTTCCTGAACAGCGCCACTCCTTCAGGCGTCTCACTGGTCGTTTTTTGAGCTGAATTCCCTTTTGATTTTGTCGATAGTCAGCAATATATTCCTTATGAGGGCACTGTATGCGAACATCTGTGGGCGCGTGCGAGTATACGGCAAGCTTTCGCCGGAGTTCATCACGTCTACTGGTGTAAGACGATACTGCCCTCTCTCCCCTTTCCCCTTCAACTTTGTTATTGATGTGCTGCTTGAAACTTCTCTGGTTGCCTCTTAACCCTCGGGAGTCGAAGTGCTCTCGGGATGTTCGCTCAGCCAATGAGTATGCGGACGATATTGCTCTCCTTGGTTCAGATCCTTCAAAAATGCAAGCCGTTTTAAACAACCTAAATAATTCTGACACGCATTTTGGCATGCGCTTCGCACTTGCATAGTGTAAAGTGTTGGGATCAATCCGAAACTGCATGCCTACAAACGAGCAGTTTGACGTGGTAGATAAATTTGTTCATCTAGTTACGCTGAAGTACGCCACACTTTCTTCGGTAAAAGGAACTCTCCGCGATAGACAAATCACTTGCGCTTCATCGATTGAGCTGGCTAGGACATTTAGTCCATATACCAAAGGCCCGTGTGCCTCGCAGAACTCTTCTCGCCCAACCCTGTGTGGACTGGATACGACGAAGTGGTGGACACTGCAAAGAAAAATGAAAACACAAACCAGTAAACTTGGTCGGGTTGACAACTGCCACCTGTGTTGGGGAACGTCACTTGGCAGAAGGGTTTGAAAAAGATCACGAAGGGTTTTGGTGTTGTACACCTTCCAGAATGGGGTCCCCGTGACTCCATCTGTGCTCGACTGGAGACGTTGCAAGAAATGACGGCCAATCGATGTCAGTCACGTTCGTGATTTCAATTTCTTTCCAGGTTGTTGGATTGAACATTCGGAAATGTAGGCATCTCAGAACGCTTGAGATAGGCCAGCACCAGGTTCCCTCACTCACCCACTCCTTTTCTCTTCTTTTCACTTTCGGGCTTTAAATATAATTACACGAACCTTATGGTTGTACGGCATTGAAGCGTAAGTGCGCGAGGTGGCTCAGTTGGTAAGGCGTTAATGACTCGGTGGTCCTTGGTTCTAATGCGGCCTCCACATCTCGACTGCTCCTGTCTGGGCTTGAGCAACCTGACATTTTCCTGGTCCTCCTGATTCCTGTGGGTAGCAAGGTAGCTAGACACCGAGAGGATGTTACATTTGAACCATTCCGTTAGATTGCGGTGGCGCATGTGCATGAAAGCTATCACATTCAATGCGCAGCTACCCAAATCCCGAACTTACTGAACAAGCCATCGCCTCCTAGGCCTGCGGGTATGTCCTCCACTCTCACCTTTTGGTGACTGAAACTTTATCAGCAAAAACAAATGCGCCTGTAGTACACGATTTATAGCTGATAAATTGCATTGAAAAACTACATGGCTTATAACAATGGGCAGTATGTGTAGTAGCTTAGTTCTCGGTCTGAGCCTTTCAAGCTAGCGTTCACGTCTAAACGACTAGCAAAGGCGCACACAGTATGTTAACGCACAAAATAAAGTTAATAACGCTTTATATGTAGAGCTTAAGCGGTGACAACTCTCCGGAAAGACGTTCTGAATGCGCCATTGTCAAGCGGCATTCGGCCAATGCTAGGTCATGGTTGGCTGTTGGGTCCAGACTTTCGACTAATCAGATCTCGGCTTGATGCCGTACCGGAAGTGTCCGAAACTTTTGGCCAATCCTGCCCAGGATAGGCTTCTCTGCCGTAGCAGCTCCTGACTGCGAGGGGCAAAGCGGGATCCGTGTGGAATTCCGCCTAACAATATGGCAGCTAACGGCTGTCGCTTTCTATCTATACTGTCTGACTGAGTGCTGGCGTTGTTGGCATCTCCAGTGTTTGTAGTACGCTCTCTTTAGGTTTCCCTTCCTGCTCCATTTCTCTCTTTCCGCTATAAGGCTTTTTTTGGAATAAATTGATATGCGTTGGTGTTCTGTTTTTTTGTCAATACTGCTAATACCACAACCTCACGAAGGATTTATTGTTGTGTCCCCTCGTACTAAATGTATCGATCGATACAGTCAACAAGTATTTTGTCTGACCGACTAATCTACCCCATCCGAAATTGCGCAGTAGACTTTTTTGGGAGTCTCTTTTAAACCTGCTTTCTCCCGGTTATTGGCCTTGCTACTGACGAGAAAATACAAAATGCTTTTATCTGCGAGTCTCCGTGTTCTAATCATGTTATTCAGAGTTATATTGTGATCCGGATCGCGACTAATTCCACACAGGGTTACCGGTCGTTGTATTCCGGTGAAGCAAGATTGAAGAGTGAATGGTCGAATGATTGAGACTGGTTGGTATGGGTGGGGTGGTAGAGGCGCATGACCTTTCCAGGGTCTTCAGTGATGTCTCGACTAGTGGCGTACCATTTATGAGCATTTTTACTGAAAGGCACTTACGATGTTCCACCCTCTGTTTCAGGTGACCCATCAACTGCTTTGTCCGCACTGCGAACTCCCCGTGATTTCCTTTAAAGGCAGCTTGGCGGTTTCAGTCTGACAAGTGTGACTGGCTCTGTTTGAGTCTGAGCAAACGCGTCATCTTTTATTATATCCCGTGGACGACCGCTTAGTTGATGCACAATGCGATGGACTTTTGTGGTCTACAAGCGCCATTTATTTTTATTCGTCTCGCGACTATGGAGCGTATTCTGTTGTGTATTTCGAAAGCAGACTCAGGCGGTAGGTTTTCTATTGGTAATTTTGAATACCTTTGTGTTTCTCTCTAGATCACCCAGTATCAGAGCGTGAAATATGACATTGTTCCGTTGTCTCCCCTGTCCAAATACCGACTATGTGAGTTTTGTCAATGGCCATCACGTGAAATAGTTTTAGAAGATGAGTGCTCGTCTCTATCCGTTAATTGGATGTTTGTATGTTCCTGAAAAATAGATTATTTTACGTTACCATTCTCATGCTTGACAAGGTTTTCCTATCTGTCTGAAGGAGAATATTGAACGACCGTGCTTTATTGCTGAAGTGCCTAACCTAAGACTAGTTCTTGGTTCATCGGTGTAGGTTGATGAAGTCTGGCATAGAGGAAAGTTCTTGTCAGGAATTTGGGAAAAACGTTTTATTATTCCCGGGATGTTCATCACAGAAATACAACCTGGAAGCCGTCTCTTCCAGAGCCAGACAACACCACTCTGTGTGGATGGCGTTGTGCCATGTCCTAGTGCGATTTATGCTATTGAAATAGCTTATGATTTCCAGCTTTTCAACACACGGGATTCCTCTACCTGAACGGCTATTTCGCCTTGTCGGATTTAATGTTCAATCTGCACATTAAGGTCATCTTTATTGGCTTCATCATTCACTTCACAGGTACCCTCCGCCGAAAGGTAATGGTTTTAGATCTTGACGAAACGCTTATTCACTCGGTGCACGACGGCACCCTTCGACCCACAGTTCGGCCTGGAACACCGCCAGATTTTGTGCTCAAAGTTGATATTGATCACCATCCCGTACGATTTTCCGTTCACAAGCGACCTCATGTGGATTTCTTCTTGAATGTAGTGAGTTCTTTATAGCCAACATATATCACACCACATGGGATGTCTGGCCATTTTTATCCATTGAAAAATAGGATATTCATACGGAGCACCCTATAATTGTCAACGCCTTGGCACTCAAACTTGTCCAGTCCCTTGTTTAGTGACCTGTGATAACGACTACTGTTGATTATGTTTTTTTCTATCTCACAGACTGCTTACTCATTCCTGCCTACCTTAGTTGTCTGATCGGTCGTTCAAAATTCCTTCGCGCGCTCCAGTTGCTGATTATGTTCATCTGCAAAGGGAAATGTTCAGTCATTAGCGAAATACACTCATTTGCAAAAAAATGGTTTTGCGGAGATTCACCTGCAAAGGGAAATGTTCAGTCATTAGCGAAATACACTCATTTGCAAAAAAATGGTTTTGCGAGAGATTCACCTGGAACCCAGCTGAATCTGTCGTTTGTGATACTTGTGGGCTGTTGCAGAATTTTTAGCAATTACGAATGTTCAGTCATCTTCAAAGCATTTTGCATACTTGTCGTACTTAGTCGGGTTCCGGATGTACCAGGATATTATTTAAGGTCTCTCAGGTTCCCTTGATTAACATTGATTGGACATCCAAGAGTCGATGTCGCCGAATATTCATTTTTGCCCAGTGACATCTGAACGAAAATACTCTACGAGGTCAGACTGATCTGTTAGTGGAGCGTGAGAGCTGAATAGCGCACCGACGGATGGTTTGCCGTTTACGCGATCATATGTCTATTTACATGCAGCGAACACTCTATGAAGCCGTAACCGTCATCTTATCAACTCCCAGATTTCGTCACGACTTCCATTTGTGCTATCTTCCAGTGGTGGAAGCCGGACGTGGAGAATCCACAAGCTGATGGTGCCTGTGCTCACCCATGCCCGCCAGAAAAATGCACATTGCCCAAAACGACTTGTATGCACAAGAAAGGATATTGTATTTGGCACGGGTAGTTGAATCTCTAGCCTATTCGTCGCTTCATTAACTCCTTTCGCTGACCTAGTTACGCCTGACAGCGTTCAATTTTTAATTACGGGTCCTGAAGCATGCCGGCGCATGTCCATCATAGTATCACAGTATCCATATGAATGTAGATTACTATAAGCCTTTAGTTAGTGCTGCCTAAATACATTCTCACTGATTGCCATACCATAATTAACTCTCAGTCATAAGGTTCAAAGCATAGTGATACTCCTCTGTGCAAGCATAGGGCTAGTTGCTGAAGCATGCCTGCTGTCATAGCGTCCGTTTATTATATACCGCAACGGGGCAACGTATCTTTTATAGAGTGAATATTCACAAAGAGAAACTTCGAAACACAGTACCTCAGGATGACAACACAAAGCCACTGAATAAACAAAACTAGCCAAGTTCACCAGATATCCAGCTCAACGTTTACCGTTGCTCTAAGAGTAATTCAGCTTTCACGCCCAGAATAGCACACGAATACCTTGTTTCTGCATAGAATAGTTGTCATATGTACTGCTATGATATCATCGTCTGCATCATCGTTGACAGTAACATCACTGACAGAACAGTGACGCTTTCTTGCTGTAGAACCATGTCAATCTAGTTCAATGAGGCCTTAAAACGGAAAGAACAGAAAATGAGTCATGGAGGGAATTCGATGAATAGCCTACCACGAACATCGGAGGTGCCTACACCCACCGCCAGTACTCAGCTAAGCAATCTGGATGGGAACCGATAAGATGAACGCCACTGACACCGAGTAGCCGCCATACCGTGCAGTGTCTCAAACCATACTCACATAGGGTCACGTGGACGTCACCCTGGAAGGGGAATAGCACCAACAACGCCCAAGCGTTTCGTAACATCCTTCATTCCCTCCTACCACATCAAATTCCGTTCACCCCCAGGGTTTCGGCCACTCCTGGAAACAACGGTCGCCTCATCGGATAGTAATTCGGCATGCGTTACACATGACCCATCCACTCTAGCTTGCTGTGTTGGATGAATTCTTTGAAGAAATCAACTTCTAAAGGAAACTGCTCACAAGGTTGCTGAAAACTCTTCAACAGCCCACGACACGTGAAATCCAAATTGATTTGCACATGAGCGTATTTTTCGAAATTAACTTCTACTTCACTAAGAACCCCTCTCCTGATCATCTCATTGCGAATTCGCCAGTCTCCGCCGACTCCAAGTATAGTTCTAAGACAACGCTGGTGAAAGACCCGAAGATGTCTCATATCCTCCTCCAGCAGTGGTGAGGTCTCGCAACCGTAAAACAATACAGCTGATACTGTCTTCTGCCCTTGAGATCTGTGCGTTGACCTCGTCTGTCACATTCTTGTCAAAGCTAATGCAACTTCCGAGACAGGAATGATGTTTCACGACCTCCAGTTTCCCTTCCTCCATTCTCAGATGCATGTTCAAAGACTGTACGTTCCGCAGCATGACTCTGAACTTTGTTGGCACGAATCACATGCCGGAGGACTGGATGATCATGAAGAGCTTTTCTAGTGTTGCATGCGCTCCCTACTCTTCTCCAAAAATAAGAACAATGTCGCCTTCATATTCCAGGTTGACAATGTTTTCGCTCGGAGAGATCTGAAAATCGAGGTTTTGAAGACCTCGTGTTCGCCTCATTGTCTCATCAACGACGAAATTAGAAAAAAGACGGACAAAGTGGACATGTCTATCGGACACGGCTGCTTATAGGGAAGCTTTCGTGGATCTCTCCATATAGTGTCCCGCGTCACAAGTATGTGAATTCAAACAGCACATGATATTGACGGACGGCTGGGGCCATACCTTGTTGTGTCATCATCATCATGATTGTCAGCTGTAATAACCTCGTACTTGTCGTACAGTGGTTGTAGCTGCCACAGTTTCGTTTACCGATGATTCGGGTAGATGGGGTAGGTAGCTTCGCATTGGAGGCGGAAGCTGATAAATTAGTACGTAAATACACCACTGTAGGTGAACTGTTTAGTGGGGGGTTGGGTTGGGGAGGGAGCTGTGCATCGAAGACAATAGCTTGGATGCATTAGCGCCATTGAGGGCGCGTCTGGGTCATGTTTGACACTGTCTGATTGATATGATATGGCCCGTCTCGGGGTCCCCATTCAGGAAGACGGCATGACCAGCGCAGCTGAGTTTGTTGGTAATGGTTTTTATACTTCGCTGCCAAGTCATTGTTTGATCGCCTCTGGCTCTCTTTCACCCTTCATGTGGTTGTGCAAAATGAGCCCTTCGAGGAAGTCAGGTCACACCAAGATCATAGGACACCAGTACACATGTCGTTGCTCTAACACTTGACAGAATGTGGAGATGTGATCTATACAGCCCCTTCCTGGTCAGAATGCTGCTTGCTGTTCTCGGGTACCGTCCTCACGCGCCTCAGTAAGACGACGTAAAATAAGTGACGCAAAGAGTCCAGTTACAACGGGGGTCAAGCTAATTTTGTCATTGCTGTACTCTCTGCGCGGAGCGTTTTTAATTATTGGCACTACTCTTGATTCACGCTAAAAGCGCCTTTTTTGCGGCATGACTGGAAAGAGTGGTCATTCGAAGTGAATGGTGATTATTCAACACTTTCATGTGTATATTGGTGTGTTTACTTTGAGGCTGTACATTTATTTGAAGAGTTTTTACGGAAGATTGGAAGAGAAAAAGAGTTCTTATATATAGAGTTCTTGGGAAGCTTGCCAATTGCTTTTCCCAGGTACAGGTGGACAGCCTGAACGAGCACGTGCGAGGCTTCTGGAGGCGATGAACGGTTGTGTTACGATATCCATTTGTTTCGGAGAAATGGGCCAATTCTGTCTTGTCAGATAATTGAGAACAGCACGTGAAATAGTTCTCCATTGCTAGGTCCCGTGCACAGCCACCGAACCACTTCTGCACCTTTCTATATGGCTTTTTTGCCTTGTGTCAAACTTTTCAGGCTCAAGCATTCCCTGTGAAAGAACGTCACTTCTTTTTGAATTTATAGAATTCTTCGGCCTATAAACCCAGCATCCTGTTCGTCAAGAAGAAAGTACCATCATACACTGTGTGTTAATACGTTATCCGTTTCCCTTTGAATCGGCCAGAATCACTCCCTTCCCAGTGGCGTTTTCTCATCCAAGGCACAGGCTTTAAACCATAGGTTTGCAGACTTTTTTACTACAAGCTAGACAGAGTCAAACGGCATAAGAAAAGATACGGTTGTTTTTATATTATTCTGCCAGATTTAAAGCTGAGAGATTTAGCGTCCGTAGCATCAGTTGGTTTCTCGAGCGCATTTACCCTGGCTGCGTTTCATCCTCCTCAAATAAGAAATCCTTTCAGAACGCTCGCAGCTACGTTTCTATACATTTGGTTGTGGTTACTGTTACTATTCGCATTCCGTTTTCGAGAAAGTCTAGTTCCTCCAAGCCTTCTGCGTAACTCGTTTCAGAACTTGTTAACACCCGATAGATGAACCTGTCATCAATATCTTTGTTTTGGAACATATTTGTATGCTTTCATCTTAGATAAAAAAAACATTTCGACGCATTCTTATGTAATACTCATTGGGACACTGTTCCAGGGCTTCTTGGGTCTAACTATAGGGAGGTTCATGTGATTTGCTCTTTGCGATAATGAATTGCACACATGAAGTACAGTGGTTCATCAAACCGTCCTGACATGTTCTTGTCCAATCTTTCGTTGTAACGTTTACAGGTCAGCTCTGTTAGTCTGGATGGTTGGCAGTTGGTTTGGCAGTTGGATTGCAATCCAACTGCCAAGCTCGGTGAACAGACCAACAACCAAACAAGTAACTTCACTTTGGAAGTCCTGATCTGACGTGCGTCCCTACTTTGGTTCAGGTATTAAATGGCATCCAGATCAGCCGTTTCTAAATTTATGACTGCCTACCTACCAGTGGAGTCAAAGCCCTAGTTCTAAGTATAACATTGACATGATAATTCTCGGCCTGGATAACAGCATCATTCTCTTTGAAAAACCTCTTGTGGGACAGCCCGCAACCGAAATATAGTTGAAACTAAATCATTCCACTCCATCTCTACCGGAAAGGACCAGTGTACTTTCGAACTTGTGGTTGAAATTTCAGGTACGCTTGGATAGGATTGCTGAATAGTCGCCTATTAGAACTACTGGTTTATTGGCACTATCCTTTTTTAGTTGTATTTAGCAAATACAACCCCAGAACGACCTATCACTTTGACATCCAGATGGGTGGGTTTGATCGGTCAAATCCCCACATCACGGATGTACAGTTCAATAGTGCGGGTGTTACCAAATCACCTAGCTAAGTTACCTTCGAACGTGTTGATTGATATCCTCGCAACCTTACGTCTTCATTCTTTCGCCGTATTATTTTGGGGTGATGAAAATCAAACACACTTATCACTTTTTATGTAGTTACAAACTACTTAGTTTTGTTACCGGCAAATCTTCCGGTATTTCGCATTACCTCAGCTCCTGCCTCCAATGAGCCGCTACCTCCCCTACCTTCCCAAATCATCGATCGAAATTGTGGCAGCTATTACCACTGTACGACAAGTACGCGGTTCTTAAAGCCGATAATGATGATTTGATGGGCTTTTACGTCAATGGTTGTGCTGCAACGTTTTCAACCGAATAGCCCAACTCAGAGGAAAAACCACTGACTATCTATGCAACCCGAGTTCATGAAAACGGGGGCGAGATGGCCCATGTGGTTAGACTGCAAATTTACTGACTGGAAGGTCTGTGGTTCGAACCTCAGCCTCTCGACTTCCTTTGTCTAGGCTTCAACAACCTGGCAGTATCCCAGCGCTCGCGCTTCTTTCGGGTGGCATGGCAGCTAGGCACTGGAAGCGTCCTACAACTGAACGTGTCAGTGTATGCCTCGAAATCATTGGTGCCCGAAGGCATGAACTTCACCCTGACCTTCCAAGGATCCCTATCTAAGAGAGAGCCAATGACTCATTTGAACGTCTGTTATCCCCCACTTTTAATTAATCAACTATCATTTCTTCGCCCTTCGGTTTTCTAATCTAATCATGATTATATTGTCAACTTCCACCCATGTTTTACCCGAAAATTCTCTGCTAGAAGTTAGCTAGTCGGATGTCCCTAGTTGGAATACTGTGGGATAGGGTTTACAAGACAGTTCGGGAGCAGTATAGCGATAAGACGGTGGTATGTGGTATTCATTCATAACCATATGAAGGCAGCTGGAACGAATCGCGTCGAATATTCAGAGACGTTTTCTGGCATGACTCATAGACGACTAGTACTTTGTGTGACAGTACATCCATTGGTGATCGTGCAGACGGAAAGTGCGTTCAGGCCGAATTGAGAGATGTCACAAAAAATGGGGAGATGTGCACTTCCTCCGGCCATTCACTAACTAATAGGATTTCGTTCGCAGCCTGCGGATTTATTCGTATTTTGTTGCTCTGTCTACGGCAGTGAAGGAATCTTTTCCAGATAGGCAACACCAGTTTTTGCCAGCTCCAATTTAATATACGCACACAACCTTGATCTATTTTTGATGAAAACAGTTCCTTATCCGCATCTAGGTTCATTTTGTGCAAAAATGTTCTGCGTTCAGGCGTAAAACCTTAAATGAACTTTCAACTCTCGTTCATGACAAGGAGACGGGAATACGTTTTTTGCAAAGCCACGAAGTGATCCATCAGCAACGTTTATGCAACAATGGCCACCAAATGACACCTTCAACTGTTTCTGATAGGTGGAGGTGTAATGCCCGACAATGTCGGCATGAAATCGGTCTTCGAAAGGGACTTTGGCTAGAGCGGTCTAGGATGGAGTTTAGGACCAAAAATTTGGCAAAAATCGAATTCTGCTCAGAGTAATTATCTATTAGCCACACGACCGCTGTTGACTGGAAGAACTTTCTTCGCAAAGTTTGCCCCTGGTGGCTTTTGCAGACTCCAACGGTTATCGGCGGCCCAGGTCTGCACATCGAGGTCGATGAAACGCTTATATCTCGCCTTAAAAAACCATGCAGGGCGAGTCCTTTCCTAGCAGTGGGTTTTCGGACAGATCTGCCGGAAAACTAAAGAGGTGTTCATGTATGCAGTGCCAGATCGAACTGCGGCTACTTTGATGGACACAATCCAGGCCTGCATCGCTCTCTGCTCAATCATATGTCCGATGTGTGTGCATCATACCGGGGAATTGAAACGATGATTGACATGAATTATACTCATGAAACGGTTAATCATACCGAAAACTTTGTGGATCCAACGACTGGAGCTCACACACGTCTACAATATGCAGAATAAATGCCAATACGGCACACACCGATCTTTAGTGGACAGCTACCTGTGTGCGTTCGTTTGAAAGCAAAGATACCGGGAAACGGGCCTTTTCATGCAAATTATTGATGACATGTCCCGATTTCACCCTGTTCTATAAAAACTAAAAATACAAATTTCATATCCTCTTTTTTCTAATCCTTTTGGGTGGCGGCGGTTAATTTTTTTGGCGATGCTTATCTGGAAAAGATCCCCGTGAAGCACAGATGTTTGGCTCTAGTGGTGTTGCACTTCATGACGACGTCTAAGCGTTGTGTCTAAATTTACTGTGTGATACTGCCGCCACCATTTAGAGTGATTCTGTCCCGTCCAACAAAACAGGCTTGATACTATCATAGTCTTGTTCATAGAACCAGATGACTGGAGTTCCAGTTAGATGACTACTCCCAAACAAACCCAGGTGTTACTTCCAGTAAGCGGTGTTTGGCTTTTCGTATACAGCTACCTTGATACATTCTTGTAGGTAGCTGAAACTCCAGATTCAGGACATCTAGGCTTTCATCGCCGTGCGTTCTGAAGAGGTAGCCCGTCACTGTCTGCTCACATAGAGTTAGGAGACGATTTTGAACCATGATTGTTATCCACGGTTACTGGAGTGACAATCCTATTGGCAGCCGACATGTGTTGTCCTGCGAACAAGCTTTTGCGTTATCTTTCCGGTTAACTCTATTCCTAATCGCCCACCCATTGCAATTTTTCGGAGGGAAACCCATCTGTTTTTCTCACTTTTTCATCCAACAGATAAGTCAATGGTATGAACTAGTAATCTACACAGCTAGCTTGGAGATATACGGTGCAGGTGTCACAGAGCATTTGGACAACGGGCGACGTATTCTGCAGCGAAGGTTCTACCGACAAGTAAGTGTCTTCTGTATAAATGCATGCGCATCTCGTAACCTTTGCATCTTTCCCTTCATATTTGCCTCCAATTCTACCGCTGTTTCAGCATTGTACCTACGACAACGGTAGCTACTCTAAGAATCTCTCTCTCATCACATCTGATCTGGCTTCCATATTTATTTTGGACAATTCACCTGGGGCGTATCGATCCTACCCAGGTAAGCTTCTTCTGCAGTGCACCATCAATCTCACTTACATATCTTATTATCGTCGGTTATTAAGCCCTTAAGTGCAGATTCCCCTACATAGTTTTCACATTATGGTCTCCGAATCACATTAAGCACTCCATACATTATTTCTAAGTCATCTCGTGATTCATCTCAAAGCGTACTGAAGCCAGCCCCAAGGGATACCAACAGAAATTTCACCCATTATCGAGATGAAATTAGGACGCAAACTTTTCGCTTCCGCGCATAACCGTGCATCTTTTCGCATGGCCTATGCCGTTTTCTCAGTTATCAAGATACCAAATGGATACATTGGAAACATGCAATACACGCATTTTTAATGGATGAACTATTGTGCCTGTCACTCTCAGGCTGATGTGTTTGTACATGTCAGACCAACCGGAATCAAGAATCGACAAAAGGACAGTGTTCGACCAACTGTCAGTCATTAACAAAGGTAGGCTGACTTCGTTCTTTGGGTTTGTCTACTCTGGCGTACTCGGATGCTGATTGAGCCGAAAATAGATGTGTACATTTTCCCTGGGAGAATCTGGTACAATTTGTATATCGAATGGTTGATCGTAACCGCGGAAGCCATTCTCGAATATCTTTGGAACGCAGGCTTCGTTAACCTACTTTCATTCCCCATAGCAATATTCAGAGTTCGCCTCATGTAGAACATACCCCAATCTTTTGGACAACTACTCAAGTAACGCACCACTTGCACCTAATCCTTAGAACTGTGCCTGTCAGCTTCTGCGTGGGGACGAACGATACAGACTGCTTTCTGGTCTACTCAGAATTAACGTGCAGGGCTCGCAAATGTTTCAAGAAAACACTGGACTAGGATGCTGTGTTGACCACCCACAAACACAAAATGAAGTGATTCTGCTGGAGCGGGTCAAATAGAATAAATAGCCTACTATTGTTTTTTTACTGGATTGGCTGCCAGGCCGGACTCTTCCGGTCAAGCGTTCTTATTATTGCTCATTAAATTTCTGGGGATTTCTGAAAACCCATGACTGGTTTCGCTTCTTGGGCTCATCATGCAGGTTGTTTGAGGTACTCAGGACGCATAGATTGAGGTGTTAGGTTTTAGCTTGCTACTAACCTTGTGGCACCGCACATTTTGAACAACAGATTTGTCCGAAACCAGGTGGCAACTATTTCGTCGTGTTACTCTGAGACATGAACGATTGAAAATCCACATGTGAAGTTTTCCGTGTTGATGTTGTTCCTGTTTATCTCGGTTATTCTGCGATAGATATGTAAAATGAGCCAATACAGTTGTAGGTCTATGTTTCTTCGTTTTCCCTGACCAACTGATCAAACTTCGAGCTGTTGCTGTTGCTGTTGTTCGTTAGCTTGCGTTATGTGGTGGGTGATGTGCAAACTGCCCTTCATCACTAATAGTCTGAGGTTAATCTTTTTACCTCATTGTAATAACCTATTTAGTACTTCTAATGTTTTTGCTGACTCCCAATAGCTTTAACCTTGTGTTCATTGATGTTGATGTCGTTGCTGTACTCAAGGATAGCGATGGATTTCTCAGCCAGCGCTTATCTAGCCTATTTGGGTCTACCTAGGAAAAAGAGAACGTACCAAAAAACTGAGGTTAATGGATGTTAGTGGCCATTCTCAAAAAGGGTACCCGCAATGAATGTAGTAACCACGGAGGTGTTGGTTTGATTCCTGTCCTAGTAGGGCATCTGGCGTCACTGATTCTTCGTCATGTTACGGTGGCACGCGAGTCCTTGACCCGTGAGCATCAAGCAGAATTTCGACCGGGTGGAGACTGCGTTGATCACGTCTTTACACTCCGTCAGATGTTAGAACAATGCCGCATGTACAAACGACCCACATTCCTGGTGATCCTTGGCCCCAAGGGTGCGTTCGATTTTGTCGGTCGGTCAGTGCTGTTAACTATATTTGCTCCACATGGTATACCCCAGAAATTTGTGAACATGATCCGATCCTTATATTCGCAAGTTCATGGTGAGCTCTCCAAAAACTTCCTTACAAAAAGTGGTGTCCGACAAGGATTTCCACTCTCTCCGTTCTTGTTCAAATTCGCCGTTGATGGGTGAATGCTGGAAGGTCTTTGAAACCCCGGTTTTCAGATTGTTGCTGGTGAGAGACCTATCGATCTGGAGTACGTAGATGACATCGCTCTTATCTTTAAAGACCAGGGTGGGTACAATTTCTGTTTAATAGACTGACTGCCGTCGTAGCATCTTTCGGCATGCGTCTTGCACCTTCAAAGTTGGTACCGCAGAATGCCAGCCCCAGGTCCCTCCATCACCCACTCTCCCTCTTCTTTTCACTCTAAGGCTTTAAATATAATTGGATGAAGTTTATGGTTGTACGGTTGTGAAGCATCACTGTCAACGCTGATGTTGCTGTCTCTGATGATGATGATGATCATGATGATCATGATTGTATTGTTGGCATATCTCGTGTATGGAATGTTTTCTGTTTCGCCCACTATCGATCCAGATAACGCTATTCCGATTCGTTCCTGGTTTTCTGATGCACATGATACCGCTCTGTTATGCCTACTTCCCGTGCTCGATGCACTTCGTTTCGTCAGTGATGTGCGGTCCGTACTCAGCCGAAATCTTCACCGACCACAAACCTTACTCTCCAGCTGATCAACCATTGGCACATCTGTGTGTCTTCTCAGACACTCTTTTCGTTTTTGGAATATGAAGGCCCATTTTGTCTTCCTTCTGAACACCTCACCTACATGCGCATCTGCCTTGTTTGCTGACCAGATCCCGGTTGTTTTGTTTGGCCGAATACTTCTGGAGACTGCAGCATTCGTTTTTCCATATTTTTTGGCCAGTTCGCGCTGGTTGTCACACACAAAGATTATGTATGTATCAGTCTGTCTATTTTCGCTCACACCAACTGTATAATCACCCGGTCGTTGTTTTTTTTACACCATTGGCACTTTGATGTCCCGGATTCACTCGCTAGCCGTTTAAGCTCATCCAGTTTGTACAACTTCGTCACATCCAACTTCCCTTTGCGTTCATAATTCGCCGGCGTTCTCATTATGCTCCACAAGCATGAATGTGTTGCTTGTTTGAAGGGCTTAATTGGATATCTGTTTGGTAAATTGGGTTTGCGGGACTGTCCTACGTCTTTGCCGTCTGTTTTGTACGGCAGCGCAACTACTCAGAATGTTTTCTTCGCCATGTTCGTGACAGAAAGTGTGCATAGCTGTGGGGCCTGAATAATGGCCATCCCACAGCAAAGCTGTCATCTGCATCCCGTTCTTAAATTCCCTTTTATCTGGTTGGATCCCCTTGCTGCTTACGGTTGTTTGGATGTCCGCTCTCGCCCCTAAACTATTCACGCGCTCGAGTAACCGCTTGGCTGAGGAAAATTTAGTCCCATGGTCCAATACAATTTTAAGTGGAGATGCACCTACGCTTATTGATCGTATCGGCCGAATATTTCTGCTTAGTTGGTCGGTTCTAACTCGCCCGTCAGTGTCTTTTGGAACGCGTGATTTGTCTTCCTTTGGTCTGGCGTAATAATGTATAATAATAATCGTTCAGCTAAACACTATTTCGGTACCTATCATGAAGCCCGAAGGAAACGCTAGGGATGCGATACCATCAGGTTGCCTAAGTCTAGACGGGGGCGTTCGAGCTGTTGAGGTTCGGTTCGAACCACGGACCTTCCGATTATTAGTTTCATACTTCAACGACTGAACTATCTTGAACGCGGTTCATCTGACAGCGTGTCCTACTGTTATATATGAATAATCTGACACCCGCAGAGTTGTTACTCCATGTTGTAAGACGAAACAAACCGCATTCATCGTTATATTATTGCTTTTCTGGGTGATCTAATCGCTCGATTAATCACAAACAGATCACCATGCGAGTGTATATAAGTGGTCGCCGCTCTCCGTCAACAAGTAAGTGCAAAGGTTACAAGGGGCCTCGCGGTATTTAAGGGGCACTTTTGACGTTAATTCAGGTTGTTTGATCAGCGTTTTGTGAATACCCATCACCAACGACCGTGCTTCTCTGAAATGCCCGAACATTTATCATCGGTCGTGGTTCTGTAAATACCTGAACGCTCGTCGGCCATTGTGGAATTTATTGATTGTTTGGACTGTATGCTGGCCACATTCTTTATTGAGATTTTGGTGGAGCTTGAGAATCTCAGTAGATTTCGGGCATTCTGGGATTGTTTTCAGGAATCTTACCTTTCTTACAATATCGTTGTTCGGTGGCCATGTAGTCTCACGAGCGAAGTGTCGTTATTTGAGCCAGTAATCAGATCAGGAGAAGCGGAATCAAGTGGCCATGGTGAGACTGTCACGACTTATTAGACGGTCAGTTGTTGCTCAGGCGATGCTTTTGTTCTCTCCAATTACATCGTTGGTTAGTGAGAACCAAAGCAAATGACAATGGCGTTATGCTAAAGAACTGTGGCATCATATCTTCATTACAACGGCTGTTTCGCCATTAAATGAGAGTTTTTTTCAGCGTTCAGGTTTTACAGTTTGTGCTTAAAACGGAAAAGTGGCGGTGTATTCGTTGATGATATTATGAAGAGATTAACTGGAAAGTTTGGAAACCATTATTCTAAGCAACACATGATGTGGCTTCGTCGCCTATGCATTCTCCCAATATCTTTATACAGGAACGCCTGTTTCGCTCTGACCAGGGAATACCATTACCAATAGAAAATCGGATTCTCATCCTCCCATCATTGTACCGGGCCCGATTATTCCGCGTGACGCTTGATTGCCAATTATGGAAGTTTCTGTGAGAGATGATCCACAATTTTTGTGAGAACGAATAGGACCAATAACGGCACCAAAAATTGTTGGCGTGACAACTCACTGCATTAAATCCGAGCCAGCCGTTAAGCCGTCGTCAGTCGTGCAGGTATATTAATTGTGGTTCATAAGAACAGTTCCGGTAGGTATATTCAGCCTGATCACGTGGTCTGATGTTTAGTGTCCGCCACACGTCCGTGCAGCTTCGAACGGAAAACATTTTCACGCCAGTTGTATATTGTGCACAAACGTCATGCCTAAAATCACAGGCAGGTGGTCAACGTATAAGCGTCACATATGTGCCACGATGAGCGTCTAACTGGGTCAAAGTAGGACGAAACACTAAATGAAAAACAGGCCGTTTGTTAAGTCATACGTACCACTGAAACGGCCTTGGTTTGATCTGTCTGAGCTGGGACGGATTTTATGGACTACAACTGGGATTCTGCTGCTTCGGAAACACACCGTCCTATGACCTGACCATCAACCGCGAGCTGCAGTTCCTTGTTGCCAAGGCCAGGGTGGTCTTCGACAAATCCGAGATCCAAGTGTGGAGGTAGTGGAGTTGGATAACAACCTGTACGTCTACAGAGGTTTCAGTCAGTTTAGTTCAGTGTGACCGCTAATCCGGAAAGCCGATACCAACCCACCAGCAGGTATTTTGAATGTTGGGTTACTTTTACTTGTCTCTTCAAAGGAGGGTGAAGACTCATTACAGGATGTTGGCCATAAACAAACAGTTCAATCACCGAGAAGGGAATTTATTTAGTCAGTGCAGCTGAGGCAGCTATGATGAAGAAAAACACCAAATGTTAATCAGTGGTCCTGTCCAGGGAAAGTCGGTCGACCTGGCCAGTTGTATACGGTTGGAGAAAATTAACAAAACCCTTGCAGCACGTAATACACATCTGTTTAGTGCTATGTGGTAAGCGCGGAATTCGATTCTCTAAACTTCCCAGTGAGCGTCAGATCAAAGCTTCTTGGCTTGTGCTGTATTGCCTACAGTTCATGTAGTAAATCTGAGTCTGTCGTTTGAAATCAACCACTATTTGTTCCGTTCATATGGTTTTTAACAAGGACATGGTCAAACTGAATGAAAAACCAGGAAGAGGGTAGCGGACTCTAGTTACGAACAATCAGAAAATTACCTGGGTAAACCCTGAATGGAAATAGCAAATCAATGTATCACGAGTTAGTCAGAAAGATGTTGAAACTGAAGGGGTCTAGATGGATAAAATCCGATTTATCTAAAAAATAATGTTTGTATTCTACCGGTAGTCAGGTTTGGAGCACTGCTAGGCTCTGATTATTGACCAATCCGTGGACCTAATCACGAGTTACATGCGTTGTGTAAACAGTGCGTGTGCGGACTGCATTTACGGGCGCGTTTTTTGTAGCCCTGTTAGTTCCTATGGGTCGTATACTGCTATCTACTACCTTGTTACTGAGGCCCACCGTAACTTTCGAAATCCGTTATTTGGGCAGCCACAGTACTATCTGTATGGGTTATGAAAACCAGCCTGTTTCACTAAGCTACCAAAGAACAGAAGATAACAAAAATAGTTCTAGTCATTCACGCACTGTTGTGCTTGTAGATACAGAGCTACTGTATGAATTTCGCAAAACTCAGCACCAACCTTATAACTAATGTCATATCAAGAAAAGTGCTTCGACATCCCGGCTGAAACATGAGACCACCTTTTTGCAGTATAACCAATCGATTAGTTGCGGTTGGTTGCGGGCTTCGCGGAATTCTTGCTCACATCACTCTCGTATGAGCATTTACCCTTCTGTCGTGTACTTCCCCCGCTTTGGTGCGGACTCACCAGAATAACTGCGCCGGGACAGGAGGACGACCATTCAGGCAGGAGTGATGTGCGCAAGAAGTCTACAAATACCGCAACCACATACAAATTATCATTTGAGTCATCTTTCCGTACCCATCATACTGATCATTCAATTCTATGCAGGTCGAATCAATTCTTCGTATACGAAATACAGATGTAAAAAAAAACTCGAGGACTAGCCTTATTTGTAAACCCCCGAATGGGCAAAGCTTGTGATATAGTGTCAGAGTTTTCGGCAACTTCGTAAGTTGTATCAGTGAATTGTACTATTGAAAAAGATTTCGTGGCATAGTGACCAAAAATTAATAGTTACGGTACATTCATCCTCCCAGTTTATCGTTCTCTTCCCGTCTTATCGAAACTCAGGACAATGCTGAAATGAACCAAAATCTTACACACCATAACCACATTTACCCTTTAGTCAGGCGACAAGGCT